ATCCATCCATCCATCCATCTATCCATCTAATCTATCCATCCATCCATCCATCTATCCATCCATCCATCTATCCATCTAATCTATCCATCCATCATCTATATCCATCCATCCATCTCATCCATCCATCCATCCATCATCTATATTTATCCATCCATCCATCCATCTTTCTATCTATCTATCTTGCAAAGGAAAAAAATCCTCCTCTTCCTTCCTCCACCAAGGGGGGGCGGGGCACTGTGTCCTGCTGAGAGCTGCTCATGCAAGGCACCGCATTGGTCTTCCTGTTTATATCTTCCATCAGTCTAGCGGCCACTCCGTACATCCTGCAAATTGAATCTATCTCTTTTTAATAAAATACGTCGGCTGGAAAAAGTTGTTCTCTGACTGTTGACTTTTGTTGTTGTTGTTGCTAGGGTTTTGAGGTGCTTTTACGCAGTCTTTAAATTGGACGGATGTATTGGGATCTGCAAAAATTCAGAGGAGCTTAGATGGCAGTAAAATTCAAGTTATCTGTGAATCTTTTCTGCCCTCTAGTGCTCATCTGAATTTTTGCAGCTCAGATCTGACTATTCGATTTGTCAATCACTTACAAGTTAATAGATATAAGTATAAACATGAGTACAGGAAATAGGTATAAATAAATGGAGACAGCAGGACTTGGAACTGTTCTTCAGTTCTCATGAAATCCCCGTGGTTTTATACCTATGTAAACTGTCACTCACATTAACAGGTCGGACAATGCAGGGGTCTCCAATCTTGGCAACTTTAAGACTTGTGGACTGGCTGAGGAATTCTGGGAGTTGAAGTCCACAAGTCTTAAAGTTGCCAAGGTTGGAGACCCGAGAGATAAAGGACAAGCATTAGCAGAATGTCCCAAACCTGGTTAGAGCTAACCTTGGTTAGGATTGTGTAGCTTACTGTGGTATATGAATAGATTATGAAAAAGGATAGGTAGAGCATTGATCAGCCTTTGAACTTTGGTGTTGGAGAAGACTCTTGAGACTAAGGAGGGAACTAAGGAAGCAAGTAGACTGTCAAACAAATCCATCCAGATTTCTCACTTGAGGCACAAATGAGCAAGTGTAGCTGCCACTTATCTGATTGTGGCCTAGTCTGTAGCCCTTCCTCCTATCTCAAGGTCATTTCCACATGCCATAAAAGTTATACTCTTTGGGGCAGGGCAGGGGTGGGATTCTACCAGTTTGCACCTATTCGCTAGAACTGGTTGTTAACGTTCTAAGCAGTTCAGAGAACAGATTGTTAGAAGAAATTACTGGCCTAATCCTGTAAGGAAGGCAGGAAGGAAACATTCTGGTGTTGCTTATAGAAATTGCCTCTCCATGAACCCTTATTACATTCTTGGCAGGACTAGACTTCCTGTCTCAGGAACGTCTCTGGAGTTTTTTCCCCCTCCTTTGCTGGTACTTTGCTTGTGTGGAGTGACCATTCAAAGTTACAATGGCACTGAAAAAAGTGACTTATGACCATTTTTCACACTTACGACTGTTGCAGCATCCCCACAGTCATGAGAGGCCAGGCGAGGAGATGTGTGCCTTGATGTGAGTGATATTGAGTTGGCCACACGCAGCCAATAACATGACCACAAAGCCACGCCTACCAGCTAAGCCACACCCACAGAACCGGTTGTTAAAAAATTTGAATCCCACCCCTGGGCAGAGGTGTCAAACTCAAGGCCTGTGGGCTGGATCTGGTCTGCGGGGACGGACTGGAATTATCAAAGATCCGGTTCTATGAGAGCACTTTCTTTATGAGAGAGTGCTTTGCGCATGTGCGTAGCACTCAAAAAAACGGTAGGAAAAGTCAGTGTTGGTTAGTTGGGGTTTTTTAGCTCAGCTGAGGCACAGCAATTTTCTCTGCTGCGTGAATCAGCTGAGGTGAAAAACAAGGGAATATAGGATAGGGAATGGCGGAAGTGGGAGGGCGGGGCCATCCAGAGGTGATATTTACCGGTTCTCCAAACTACTCAAAATTTCTGCTACTGGTTCTCCAGAACCGGTCTGAACCAGCTGAATACCACCTCTGGGTGCGCCCCCCCCCCCGTGCCCATTTTCGGCCTCCATGGCCTCCTGCAGCACTCTGCTGGCTGAAAACGGGGCACGGGGGGCATGCTGCAGGAAGCGCCCATCCTGTCTCCCTCCCCCTCCCTGCCCCAGTTCCGGCTGGCCCGTGGAGGAAAACTGCAATGCTGATCCAGCCCTCGAAGAAATCCAGTTTGATACCCCTGCTTTGGGGAGAGTCTACAGCTTCAGGATGTAGATGTCACAATTACACCCGTTTGTCTGACCCCGGTGTTCCCAATAATATACACCGACAAAAGTTCCCAAAACTACAAACCATCTTTATTACTTGTTAACCATCTCATGTAGTCTGAAGCGCAGTTTCACATCGAGGCAACCACGGTGTAGAAGGAATGTGAAACTGAGTCTTTGTCTTCCAGGAATCTGGGACTTTTCCTAAATTATGATGATGACTGGACTCAGTAATGGTGGCCTACTCACAAGTATAACCCTGATTTGGATATAGCCTGGTGGGAATTGAAGTGAATGCAAGGTTTCTGTAGGAGATGAACAGGCTGAGCCTGAGGGAGGAGTCAAACATGTCATCGGTCTTGAGTCTCTTCATGGCCACAAGAGATCAGAGTCCAGCTCACCTTGAACTCCTATCTACCGTCAATTTGCTTTGACTGTTAGTAGTTCAGGTTCTTGTAGAGAGCTTCAGCTTGCAAGAAATCCTTATACAAGTAGTCCTCAACTTACGACCACAATTGAGCCCAAAATTTATGCAGTTAAGTGAGACGTTGGTTAAGTAGGATTTGCTCCATTTTATGACTTTTCTTGCCACATTCGTTCAGCGAATCACTGCAATGGTTAAGTTAGTAGCCTGGTTGTTAAGTGAATCTGATTTGCCCCTCGACTAGGCCTGTCAGAAGGTCACAAAAAGTGACACCCCCTCCCAAGACACTGCAACCATCATAAACGTGAGTCAGTCGTCAAGTGTCCAAATTTGGATCATGTGACCATGAGGGATGCCGCAATGGTTATAAGTGTGAAAAATAATATTTTTTCAGTGCTCTTGTAACTTCGA